AGGCCTATCCATGCGAAGATCATGAAACATTTCGAAAGCTGGATCAGATTCACCTGCAGCTTCGATATTGAGGTACATACAAAATTCCACTCACACCCACCCACTCACACCCTCTGTACGGTTGCAGCTCCCACACCCACACCCACCGCCGGCCGTACCGCCGGTCTCTCGTCCGTGCCCTCCGTCTTCATGCTTTGAGCTCTTCCAATTGGGTCAGGACGAACCACCATGGCTTCCATCTCGAGGTGCTCCATGGGCAGGATCAGCACCTGCCAAACCACATGGCACCAAAGCGCGGTGTGAGCTGGTAGCATCATTGCCCGGGAAAGATCCGGAGTTCCGCTACCATCTCACCGATGCGGCCTTTTCCTGAACCTTTGAGCCACCGTGGATTTCGGTACTTGCAGCAGGGTGGTCATGCTATCAACTGACAAAAACTTCAGCGAGTTGGATAAAAATAAACAGGTTATAGGCACACGTCAGCAAGGAAAGGATATCTTCAGAACGCCACCAAAGGTTCAAGGTTTCGTTTAGGAAACGGCTGCTTTTTGAACTTAAAGCTTTGATGGTGTCAATGCTGATTTGATCATGGAATGTACAAATGGACTACCCCCAATGAATTCACCAAGTTTTGGTCTATGCAGGTGGCCATGTGCAGGAGCCAACAATCGAGCCTGGAGAGTGGGAGATGCTGAATCACATGAAAACTATTGTGAACAAGGTGAAGGAAGAGACATCAGCCAAGACGTACAGGGTGTTCAACAGGACCTGCGTTCAGCCAGGTCCAAGCAGGTTGGTATCACTATGTGGGAGGTGGGAGCTACAGCAAAATCAGGAGTGTTTCTCCTTTAAGTTCTTGTTGTCGCAAAAATAGTTCCAAAATCAAATGCCGAACTCTAATGGTTGGCTCGCCCGAACCTTTCTCGCAAGCATCAAACAGGTCCTTGAAAACAAAGCAGGGGGACTGCGGCTTTCAACAAAATGGTGCACGAAGAATTGTTCCCATTCAGTTGTGTCATGACAAAAGCGGCCAGCAAGGACACCCCCAGCATGTCACAATAATCTGCTGTTGTTGCGCGCGTTTTGCGCCAGAATATTTTTTGCAAATGTGTACGCGAGGGATGCCACGCACCTGGTTCACCAACACGCTGCTGAAACCACGCGACACACACAGTTTTCAGGCACGATGCCCTTTGGCACGGAAGGCGCGCGGAGAGGATCAGGATCAAATGTAGTTGTCCAGCGCAACACCGTGGAGGGAAAACAACACTTTGTGACGCGCCACAGAAAATGCTCATGCACGGCACAAACCGGCTTTTAACTGGGCCTGGGAAAAGAGAATCCACACAAACTACAGCTGGCCTTGTTTGGCGAACCGGTGTTCAACAAATTGGTGTAATACAAGGGCGCCTGTTCGAGAGAAGGTTGGGGACCGTTCGTACCATGCCAACCACCACATCATCCTCACGCCAGCTGGGGTTGTGGAGTCAGTCCCATCAAGCGGTTGGCTTCAAAGGGCTGCTTTCACTTTGTATAAGTGGCATACTTGGTTGGGAGCACTGAGGCGCCTGCACCTTTGCCCCCAGTCACTAACGCACGTCAAGGAAAAATCGTTTTTGCGACTTCCTTGAGGTTGCCTACCTGTTGGAGTAGGAAGGTTCCTGAAACTTCCGGAGTGGAGGTAGCCATTCTCATGGCGTTGGCCACAACGTTGTCGACACGCATGCGAGAAGCGGTTGTAGACGGCATTTGTCACGCAGTGACCTTAGGTTTTGTTGCGCCGCGTGTGTGCGAACGCGCGCGCCTTGGCCAGAAGGCGGACGAAGGTGGCGGCTTTGGTGCTCGGCCACAAACCTCGAGGCCGACGACGAGACAGACATTGATGAAGACCAATCGGCATCGCGTCGGTCCAACGGGGAATTCCCATGGCACAAGTGCTCCATCAGAAGGCCTTCTGCCAGTCCATTGCGGCGTTTCAAAGCTCTGGGGCCCATACGGTTCAGGAACTTGAAATCATGCACCTCAACGAGCCGAATTTCGCAAGCATGAAATACCAAGTTCATCAAACAGAAACGGTTGGCAGGCACCCGCGCTGGGGCGGCCCCACCTTCCTGCCGCGTGGGTCCGGAGCTGGGCTGCCCTGCTTGCCTTCGCGGCCCGGTGCGCGGCCGCTGCGGCCAACGTCGAGGGCGAGGGCGCCTCGACCTGTCCTTCTCGACCGCTGAGAGCGCCCACCCTAGCTGCATTGGCCCGCGCAGCTGAACCCGCGAGGAAAAAGGTGGCGAACGTTGTGCTTTCCGCGAATCCGGGGGGATTGGGTGCGGACATGGACGTGTTGGAAAAGGTGTGCGTGAGCCGTCGGCATGGCACCTCGAGCCTCTACACTTTCAATACCTTCGTTTGTAGTTCAGTCAACTAATCTTCTAATTTTGAGCGTTGGAAATTCTGCAAAATCCGGAGGCTGCAAGTGGTCCAACAACCTCCTATGTCTTCCTGTGTGAGGCAACCCTTTTTCCTTGCACTTTCGCTGTACATCCTTTATAGTCACCTTGTCTGAATGCAGCATTTTTGGCCTAGCTCTATTTCACCTCGCTTGCCTGACGCCCTCTACATCTCATGGAAATGATTGTTGTCCTTCTGGGCCTTCCTCGTCCTGTGCATCTTCCGACCATTGGTGTTGGTGCTTCCGAGTGTCTTCTCTTCGAGGGCGCTAGAGACGCTCAAGATTCCCAAAGTGCGACTATTTGTCACACGAAATCCTTCGGAAGGCCTTTCCCCATCGGGTGTGAAGTCCTCCACACTTTCGACGCGTGTCCACGTCCGGACGTCCTCCCCCCCCGTGCTCTTTGGCTGAAAGTTTCAGCTGTGACTTCGGATCCTGGCCGTGGTGTTCTGACTGGAAGCAACGTCTGGAGATGGGCGGCTGGTTCCTGTGGGCGGTGTTGGTGGGACGGCGATTTCCGGCGGCGTTCAATTGCAGAAAGAATGCTATTGCCAAAAGAACACGCCCACGTCAAGGCCAACGCACAACGGCAATGTGATGGTTCAAACCCTCAAAGACATATTTGTCATGGCGCCAAAACCTTGAGAATGCCTATGTCAGAAAGAATGGACACCTAACAGCAGCTTCCAACTGTTCGCCACACCATGCAAAGAGCATGGCATGAAACGCGGCCGTATTCAACGAACTTAGCTGTTCATCCACGATTTGCTGTCCCCTCACAGCGTGTGGATGATCTTTATTTGGGCGCGAGGGCAACGTCAGAGAATACGCGAGGCACCTGAGGAAAAAAATTGCGGAAGGCCAGGGAGCTGCTTCTCCTACCGCGAGAGGCCCCTTGACTTGTCTCATGAACACTGCAACATCTAACGCAGTTAAAATCCGAAAGACGATTTTCAGGAACGCCGGGACTACACTCGCGTTTCTCCAGGACAACCCGGCTCGGACCTGCGGGAAAGAGCCGCGAGATTGAAAAAACGCCTTGATGCTAGGTATGGCGCTCCATGCCTTGCCGGGCACATTGTTGAACCAAATCAGTTACACCTGTTCCTGCATGTTTCGAAAAATAAATAGTGCCTTTCGGGTGCGGATTGGTGCAAGAACAAATGGCCAGTCTATGTCAGACCTACGTGAGGGAGAAGAAAAACGACCTCAACACCTGAAAATGAACATTTTTGCAATGGAGTTCTTGCAGGATGTCGCCAATCAATGCACCGGCAGTGCACAAATCGTCACTGCGAAACCTTCCTGGTTTGTCAGAACGACCATGTTCGAGCCGTTGTGCGGCCATGCGGCCGTTTCCCTCTCTTTGTTTCGATTCTCGGGACTTAGCTGTGGAACCTTCCTAAGACAAACCTGCAGAACAACGAAAGCAACTTACAGTTTGGGGAGGGCCCATCAAGCCAAGCTCCGGCACCGTCAACTCAAGCACGCGACCCACCTGCACGCGTGTGGCCCCCAAAAAAAAATCCCAGGGTATGTTGCCACTGAGGTGGCCTGAGCCCACTGGAGTTGGGGGGACTGCGCTACATGAATTTGACGGGCTGAGTTCACCTAGTTCCAACATGGTTCACGCTCAGGGTGCGTGAAGAAGGCTAAACATCAGTGAAGGTAGAAGAAACAAAAAATCAGGAACCTAACACGGATGGCCTCCACCCTAGTAGCGATGGCCTCCATCCAACCTAATAGCAATGGCAAAGCCGGCAAGCCCCAAAGTGACGAAAGATATTCGGTGCAAAAGGGCAACCGGTTGAAGCAGGCAACGGAGTGATGGAGATCGTGACAGTATGGAGGCAAGTGGACTGCCATAGACAAAACGTTTGCCGCATCCAAAAAGGTTGGTGGCCTCAACAGCTATGCACTGAAGTCTCTGGGGAAACATGGTCCGCAGTTCCCTGCCCCAAATTCCTGTCTCCAACTCCTTGCCCCCCAGTTTCCTGCCGACAGTTCCTTGTCCGGATTCCACTGTGTTCAAAACGCCAAAGTAACGAACTTGAGAGGAAGGAGACACGAAAGGTAGGACAGCGGGAAGAGAAGAGGAAGCGAGAGGCAGGAACAAAAATGCAATGTTCGACATGGTGATTTATCCCCTCAGAGAACACCTTTCGTGATTAGAATTTCATATGCATTGACTAGTGGGTTGGCCTCTTTGTCTGTGGGGAGATGGGAAAGGTGTGAAGCTACTTGAAGCCATTTGCAAATAATTGCTAGGCATTGGCGTGTAGACAAAAACATAAAGGAAGCTACTTCCAAAAAGAACAGAAGCTATTTGCAAATATAAAACTATACTATATTATATTACTATCTATTTACATTTCCTCTAACAAAGAAGGGGAGGGCACAGCACGCCTTGAACTCTCTGTCTGCACGCACTGAAAATTGAACTTGTTTTCTCCTCACCCCCAGTCCCCAGTTGTCGCTGCTGGAAGGCCAACAGCTTGCGGACGAACAAAACCGCATTGAGCCAGGACCATATCATATCTAAGGTCCAAACTTCAATTCACTTCTTTCCCTTCGCCCTTTTGGCGCCAGGGCCATCGGTTTGACCGGATGCCTTGCTACTTGAAGAATTGGTTCGCTTCTGCGAACCCTTTGGTCCCTGAGAAACCGCTTCAGCACGACGGGGGCGCTTTGCTGCTTTTCCATCTTCTGGAGCAGGCGCCGCCTTCCTGGCAGCTCAAAACGTCCCATGAATGGCATGATGAAATGGGAAACATTGAAACTTCAAAAGCCGGATAGTACTGACCGAGTCAAATGAATTGTCTGTCTGAATGAAACTCATCACAATTACTTTCCCAACACCTGACCCGAACCAAAGCAACTTTGAAGGACCTTGAACCTAATTAGTTCTCCAAACCCTGACCCAAACACTTCGCAACTATATGGTGCGCGAGTAGGCCCGCTCTGAGCATAACCATCCTGAACCATCCCAAGTTGACAAACAAACTAACGAAACAGCTCCAGCTCACTTCGAGGCTCGGAATGGCTGCCACTTCATCGAATTTGGACTTGAGTGCTGGGCACAAATCATTCTTGGACATTCCCAGCTTCTTGCTGAGGAAGCTGCATATCTTTCTTGTAGTGGCAAGCTTGTCTTCGTACTTGTCTGCGTTCACCACCACTTCCATCGCCATCATAGTGCCAACCACGTTGGCGCTCAAGCTGGCCAGCTCCTGACCAACCGATCGATTTTTGACTTGCTGTCACTGTCATGTTGGCAGTCTTACTTACAAGCAGGTTGAAAAAATGATGCCCAGGCAATAGTTCAACAACAACTCTGGACTCTGGCGCAACCCTGTTTCAAAGGCCGGCCAGTTGCCAGTCCTCGATCTTTTGCGCAACGAATGTAGCATATCAACCACTTCGTAAAGCTTCTGATCAGCCCTCAAAGCGGCTTTGCACGCAACGATCCCCTTCATTGGCTGCAAGTGGCAAGGCAGCTCGTCTCTGAAGGTGACCATGGACTTGGTGTCTTTGTCCACATCCTCATTGCTGGTAAACATCCAATTGATCTCAGCAAGCCTCTCAGCTTGCCACATTTCTGCCACTGCAATCACTGGCCTGACATCGCCCACAGAACCAGGAAGACTAATCTCTTTTCTTAGTTTCTGGTGAGGCCATAAGTTCATAAGTTTAATAGGCAGGCGGCAGGCCTATTGAATCTATGAATAGGGGCAGCGGCCAAAGCAACATTGAACTTACTAAGCTGAGAATGAGCGGCTTGTACCGCAGCACAATCTTTTCCCACTTAGCACCATCCCTCTCAATGTTGCCAATGATCATGTTCAGGTAGCTCCTCACTTTCTCCAAGTAGTCCTCGATGGCTGACTTCGCCTCGGGCTTGACTGCTTGGAGGGTATCCATGTCATAGTTGACAGCCTTCGCGATTGCTGAAGCATGCTTGCAGATCTGGACCAAATCATTCGGCGCGTCCTTGGAATAGACCTCGAAATTGCCCTGGTCCTCACGGACTGACCTCATGCCAAGCAGACGGCCTTCCAAGTCCTCCAAGCCACACAGCATTGACTTTGCCTCGTTGATACCGTCCTTATTCTTATCCTGGATGAGCTTTGTGATGATGTTTGGACCCTGCTGAACCACCAACTGCTTCAATCTCAAGCTTGCCCGGGTGCATGGGCTGGCCCAGCTTCCACTCTGATACACAGGCATCCGAGCCACGCGCAGATCATCGTGGATGCCTTTGCTCAGCTTCCAGGCATTTGACAAAGAAGCCCCTTGGCCAATGAACCCCTCCACTTTCTCAATGACCCAGAGCAAGCGCAAGTACATCTCTGGGTCCTCTTTCAACACGGTGGTGCAAATCTGGCCTGTTGTGCACAATGCGTCGAAGAATGACTCAGAATGACTCACAGGCACATTCTCATTCTAGATAAGTGGGCAAAACAAAACATCAATCAAGTCAACATCAATGTATTGAATGCCGGACATCAGGAAGGAACCATCTTGATTATCCCATTCCACTCAGCACTGTCACAGACAGACTTTCTTTGTAACAGAAACAGAGTTGCCAAATTATACAAGCATAGACCCCAAACAGCTTCAAAACGATTCAACGATTCGTTTAAGACCAATATTAGTCAAAAAACGATTTCTTGGTTCGCCCTACTTTCACCCCAAGAGCAAACTGCTTCATCAATGAATTTTTGTCGGCATTGACACTGAAACACTGAAACATTTTTTGGAGGAGCAGCTAGTATTCATAAATATGGGAGGTGGAAGAAGATATAGAAAACTAAGCGAGGATCAAAATGGCGGAGAGCTGCTCATTATTTATATATATGGGAGGTGGATGGAGATATAGCAAACTAAGCTCAGAAAACTGAAAACAAAAAACTTTTTGAGTGACCCTAGTTTTTATTTTGTCCTTCTTGGAAAGGTGCGGACGCAGAGCCGGGCCACAGAGCCCAGCCACAGAGTTCAGGGGCGCGGCCAAGACAAGGACAAGAGGAGGACAAGACCCGGACACAGAGCCGGGCCACAGAGCCCAGCCACAGAGTTGCTGTGTACTAGGAGGACAAGAGGAGGACAAGGCCCAGCCACAGAGCCCAGCCACGGAGCCCAGCCACAGAGTTCAGGGGCGCGGCCAGTGAGTGTGGCCAGCTCTTTTCTTTCTAAGATAGAACCCCAACAGTAAACTGTTTGGGGAAAAAACAAAACACGTTTCCTCACCCTGGCCTCGGGTCTTCAAAATTGAAGTCAGGGCGCTGAAGTTCTCCTTCTGAGTCACATCAAAGCCAGGAGCCTCTGGCTTCAGTGGCCACTGCGCAGTGAACCAATCGCCAAGCTTTGTCATGGACTCCATGGCGAAGGTCTTCATTTTCTCTCTGAGTTCATTCAGAGCCTTGCCAATCTCAGCATTAACCTCTGGCTGCTCAGTGGCTGATCCGGAGTCTCCTTTGAGCAAGCCCATCGCAGAGGCAACATCCATCAGATCTTTGCACCCGCTGAGCAATTCCTGGAACTCTTCTGACGGGCTGCAGTCTGGAGTATCCAGAAAGGAATTGAGCTTCTGGACATTTCCAAGAACTGTGGCTGAAACTTCCTCCGCCTTCTTCTCTGTGAGAATGTTCTTGGATACAGACACAGCATGTTCCCAAAGCCTCCTGCCGGGCTCCCACGTGCCCAACTCTCCTACTTTGAAAAAAGAAACAACTAGTTGCCCCAGCATGTTTGAGCGTTGGAGCCCCCCTCAATTGGAGGAAATGTTCACAACCTTCAGGTTGTTCTCAGTATAGGGGTGCAGCGCTGTCACTACAGCACCATCCCATCCCCTAACCATCCCCTCCCCTCCTAAGAACTGCATCGCTTCGAAAGATGAGATTCACCTTTGCTGAGAAGACTGCAGACGCAGAAATGGCCACCTTGACTTCTTGCTTCTGCTCCGGGTGAAAATGCTCCGGCGCGCTGGACTCATGAGGATCAAGCATACCGCAAACAACGAGTTTCTGCATGTCCACAAGGACGCGCAGGCCAAGGCCTGATGTATTCTTGAACTCGGCCCCCCTCAAGCTCAAGAACGTGCATGTTTTCAGGCAAGTCCCTCCTGACAGGATGAAATGAAACATTTTTTGATCATTCCGCAGTCAAGGGTTTAGGGGCTAGGGGCGTCTCACAAAAAAGCAATTGAATTGATTTGCATAGTCAACAGATGACTATTGACCATACTCCTATAGGTCCTAGTTTCGAACCAAAACACAACTGCACAGCTGCAACCAATTCATTTGTCTGACAGAAGCCAGCTTGCACATCCATGAACCCATGTCCTCAACACAGGCAAATGTTTGAACTCTTTGGGCAAGTGGAGCAGCAAAGCGTGGGTGGCTTCGTCAGAGGCAGTGCGCAATCTGTCCAGCCAACCATTGAAGATGGAGGCCTGCACCTGCAGAAAGAAGTTCTTGTCCAAAGCTTTGTTGCCAGCATCCGTACCAGCAGCAAAAATCTTGCCAAAGGAGATGTGGCTGAAGCTCTTGTACTGCTCCAGCTCTTCCATGGACAAAAATTGGAAAAGCGCGGACCGGTATCCATCCGTCAAGGGGCCCGGGACGACACTAGCCTTCAAGGGGAATGGAAAAAACAGGTCGTCAGTGACAGCGCGCTTAGAATCCAATCTTCAAAACGTAAACATTGATTTTCAGTGTGATGTTCAACAAGTACCCCGTACCTCTGCATAAAGCCGCCCAAGTTCTACCAGCGCAAGCTTCACGCACTCTGCACTCTGCAGTGCAAGGAGCTTGGTGATCCTGGTCAAATTCTCGGCAATGTAGTTCATAAAGTCGTGGACATCTGACGTCTCGTGCAGAAAGGACGCCTTGATGTTGTTGACCAAGTTGCACCAATTGTCCAAATCCTTGGCAACCTTGAACAGCTGACGCCTGGCCTCACGAACCTTCTCTGTTTGCTCAGCCGCCTCCAACCCAGCTAGGTATGCAGTAGCCTTCTCAGGCTTGCTCTCGCAGTCCTTGAACTTCCCTGGGTTTTGCCAGACAAGAAGCGGGTTCACTTGCTGCAGCATGTGAGTCACTGTGCCAGATTGAGCCACCAGTTTGTCCACATTCTTTGGAACATTGGCTGAAGGTTTCGGTGGCGGCGGTGGCGGCATCGATTCCTCCCCTTCACCACCACCTTCACCACCACGCTCGCTCTTCTCAGTGCCGCTTGTTGAAGGCGCCGCTGCCTTTGGCCTCCTCTTGGGCTGAGCCTGCTTCTGCTTGGCCTTCCCGGGGCCTTTCTGCGCCACACCCCAGTCATCTTCATCCGAACTGTTGTTCTCCTTCTCATCCTCGACCTCTTTCTCACTGTCTTCTTCCTGCACAGGCTCAGCTAGGGCTCGCTCTTCTTCGTCCTGACATAGCCAGTCTCAGTCACACACACACCGCACACTAGAGCGTAAGTTGTGGTTGTACGGCGCGGTTTGGTTGCCCAAGCCCCCAAGAATCTCAGTCAGTACAGAATTAGCATTAGTATGAACCGGAAACCAAGTATAAAAAATAAAAATATAAAGTAGATTTACCGGATTCTAGGGTTCTACGGTGACAGTGCGCGTTGCAAACATCAATGTCAATGTCCAAAATATCCGGCGCAAGTTCGGAATGCACAAACCCACGGATGCAGTTCACAGCAACCTAGGTAACCAAGTGCCTAAGAGGCCAGGTAAGTTGAAAAAACCGGTGACTCCAAGAAACCTCCACTGCCTTCAAAACAAGATCAAGTCTCAAGCTCACGAAAGATCCGAGGTGAATCGTCGATGCGCTAGCCCTTTACAGCAGAAAGACGGAAAGCAGAAACAACGTATTGGACAGCTTTAGGCTTTTGCCATACTTAGGTTCTCAACATTCAAATGCAGGTACGTCAACTCGGCGTCCCGAGTTGATATCACAAGCAAGAGATAGGTGTCTTCATTGGCACCTGCCCTATCTTTGCTCCAGGTGCCCCCTGCTTTCCTATTGCATCCGCAACAACCCAACTGGATCCCTGTGACTCTAAGGGTTACACACACACTCAAAGTTGCGCAGTCGACGCAATCTTCAACCCTCCACCCGACCTGTCAACCCTCGACCCGGACCCGAACCCAAGACAAAACTCACCGGCAATGGCCTCAAAGCCAAAGCCTGAGGAAACACAGTTGGAAATGTTTCAACAGAGGCTGAGTTTGAATGAGGAGCAACCCCCTCCTTAGTCTGTGCACTGATCTGCAACTTCGCTGCGTCCTCTTTCTGCAACTCATCCATGGATGCCTTGTCCGCATGTTCTGACTGCTTTGTTTTAGACGCAGACATTCGATGGCCCAGAAGAACCTTCTTCGGACCCTCGATGATCACCACACCCTCCACTCCACGTTCATCCTCAGAATGCCCGCTTCGCAAGCGATGAATGCGAGGCGATGGGCAACCTAAATTAAATCAAAAAGTCCTCAATGAGTCAATGAATCAACATCCAGGGGTTCAATGATCAGTCCGAGTCCAGAGTGTTTTTGATTTTCCAAATGTTGATCTTGAACCCGCCAACCATGAGAGTTCGCCCCCCAAGACTATGATAAAACACCTCATCGGCCAGCTTAACTAGCCTTTCACAAGCACAGCCCACCCACATTCCACACGCCAAGTTTCAGCTTGGATCCTGATCCCCAGCTTCTCAAGGTAAGCCTTCTTTTGGGAGACAGAGCGAAGTTTCTTCTTGCTGTCTTCATCAGCGACCTTGTCAAAATACTCCTTCAAGTCGTGCCATGTCCCCTCCTGCACAGTGCGCTGAGCAGAACAGACTTAAACTCAGAGAGGCGAAGTTGCGCGTGTTATCTAGCTTTCAACTGCTGTAGAAAAAGCGAGAAGAGCGCAGAATTCACTGAGCTGACCGAAGGCAGCCGGAACGCATAACCCGAATCCTGCCTGGCGGAAGTCAATGTAATCAGAAGACGTGCGAGTAGTATAGAATTTGTGGTCCACAACCTCATGCCTGGGCTTCGCCTTGGGGTTCCGGCATAGTGCCTGGACCAACTTCCGGCGCAAGCTGGCGATCCTCAGTTGGGCAGTGGGAGCTTGAATGATTGGTGATAGGGTCAGGGTGAGATAGAGTCCGTGTAAGGTCATCGGCGGCATTGGTAATTTTCTGGGTGTTGCCAGAAAAAACAGTCGAGTCTGGAACCTCAAATCTGCGCAACCCCAACCATACCCCCCCATTCAACAACAGTCGGGTGGCTTGTCGCTCAGTGGGCGGCACTTCCTCTTCAGCCGCAGAAATTCACCGACTGTGAGCTTCTTAAAGGAGCCGCGCTTTATATAGGAGCATTTCAGACAAATCGGAAGTCCGGCATCCTGCTTCGGAGTTGTCACTGTCATGGTCACTCCTGGAAGCGCGTCCTGACATGAGACCCACAATACACTTGCCACCACTTTGTAAGATCAACAAACAGCTCGCTCAGCTCACTAAAGTGCAATCTACAGCTTGGGAACTGGAAAGTCCCACAAAGAAACAGTCAGTAAGACCTTGAACTTCAATAAATCTGCGCAGAAATTGCCAACGCTGAAAGCTGAAACACTTGGAATACTGTTTGCAATACAAATGCTGAATTATTTGAATTATTAACTATTTATAAAGTTTAAGCTTTATCATTACACAATACCCTGACCAAAAGTATAACGCTGCAGGAACCACGTGAGGCTGCCTGCTAATCCTCCTAATCCTAGCGCCAGGGCAAGGGCAGAATAGCAGGAGGAGCAGGGGTTGTTGAGAGGGCGTTGTGTTGGGTGAGCTCAAGCTCGATCTAACTACTGTAGACGAGCTACAGGGCCCACGCTACCAATCCTCACTGGGCCATCAGCGGGATGCGCGCTACCGCAATACACTAGACTGATGCTCGATCCTCATCCTGCTCCTCAACTCGTCGTCGTCATCCTCATCCATCCGGACTGCGCAACAGCAACAATGTCAAGCGGTAGTTGGTGGAGCTTGTCCACAATGACGGTCGCCGAGCCAGCTCTCATCCGAGCACATTCAGTCGTCATCGTCGTCGTCCTACTGTATAAGAAATCCTGCACTACTTCTATGATGGTCATATGGCGGTTGACCATGGACCATGGACCATCATAGAAGTAGCGCAGGATTTCTTATACCCTTTCAAGAAAAGAGGCGACTCATATCACATCATATCGAATCATATCATATCTTATACCCTCTGGCTCCCTGTTTAACATTGCTCGGTCCGGCATCGAATCAACGCCTGCAAAGGTCAAGGTCCCATTGACGAATATCCTGCACCACCTGCTTGCACAACCCAACAGCATTGAATATATAGGGGCAGGGCTGCTGATCTGTGAGGTGTGGGTGAGTTATGCGTCGAACAGGCACAGGGTTTCCTCCATCAACTGTAGTAGGAGTGGTCTGTGGAAATGGCCTGGTCCCTGGTTTTGGGTTCAATCAAGCTTTGTTCCGCAGTTTACAGGGGGCGCGAATTCACCTTGAAACGCTTCACCTTGAAACGCTTATGCAAGTCCGTGGCTACCCTTGCACATATATCATATCAATATCAATGTTCATATATATATATATATAAGTTCTTTCAAAAATGACATAGATATATAGAAGTGCTGCCACTGTACTTGTCTCTTGAGTCCTTGTCTTGTTCGCCGATGCGTTGCTCGCAACATGGGCAAACACCTGGCTCGACATGGATGTCTTCATCACCGCTAGGATCTTCATCTTCCTCAGTGTGCCCAGGCTTGGCCTCGGCTGGCTGCTGAGGCATGACCTTCTCATCATCTGATCCAGGAATAGTGGGCATGGCCCGGCCGGCGCAAGAACTTGTAGAAGTGCTTGTCAAAAAAGTCACTATAGTCTAGTGACTCGCGTTCACCCGACTCCAACTGTTTTCAAGACCAAAGCCAAATGTTTGCAGACAGTTTTGAAGTTTGGAATCATAATCAGGCAGCAACAAAGCATAAGTCAGTGAGCAGTGAGCGGCAAACATTGTTGTAGCTATGGTAAACAACAATGACTCGTGACAGTAAACAAGAAAAAGCGACATGCCTCGACTTGACATCCATTCAACAACCCGGACCCGGACTGAAGAAATGCAAAAGCGGAAGTTGCGCTGCAGCACTGCAAATCTGTTCAGTTATTTTTGCTGGGTTGCACTGGGTATGTCACGTTGCTGGTCGGTCAACCTGGACCAAACACTAAAGCAAATTGCAGCGCTATCTTTGCTCCTACGTGTGGTCCAAACCAGATCAGGCTCTGAATTACTCTGAGCTCAAAATGAATCCTTCAGTCCTTCGCATAACTTGGCGCAGAAGCGTCCCGCCCCCCAAGAAATCCTCTGCTGACGCCGCCGAAGCCAATGCCATCATCAGAACTATGGTCGGAAAAGCGTGGCGAAAGCGCCCTGGTATGTCAGCTTGTCAGCGTTCTGCTGAACGGTTTCACTTTGGGCAGCGGCACGGGTTCGACATGTGGTTCAGGTTCTGAATCTGAACAATTTGAAACCTCCCCAGGTGACGGAATGAACGACCACTCTGACTCTGCGATTGGAAAATCATTGTGGGTCAAAAAATCGCTCAAAAGGATTGGCGCTTTCTTTCCCAGCTTGTAAGGAAGCAAAAAAGCCAGGACGGTAGTGATCAATGCTCCTGCAACCGGAACAGTCCAGCTGTCGCCTAAGATGTGGTGGTGCTTGACACCATGGACCCTACCAACCCCATAACACGATGCGGTTGCACCATCTACCATCTACCAACCACAAACAAATTGCTAAAGGTTAAGTTACAAGTTACAAATTACAAGTAACTAAACTCAAAAGCAAAGGATGAGGTTTTGGACAGCATTTAGTTTCAATCCCTGAGCAAAGTATCAGAATACAAAGAACATGGTGACCCCGTCGCCTTTGACAAACCCTGCACGTCTACAGCTGTCTACACGAACAGAATCTCCAAACAGGGACAAGGGTCCACTCAAAGCTGCCAAATCTGAGTACTTCATACCATCTAGCCGCAACTTCTCGATCTGAAAGCCTTGGAGGGTCAGAAGGTCCTCAGAAGTCAAGCCGCAAAGGAAGTTAGACAGACACCTTCACATATCTTCATGTGACGCAGTGACACACATGAAGACATTAAGGGTTCAGAAAAATACTGATGCTCCGCTTGCACCTTCAATGCTTTCAGGAGTCTTCGCCAGAAAGAAAGGATTGTGACTCGAAGTCCCAGATTTTCACGAATCTGGTGAGAGCACTTGTCCGACCCCATTTGCCGATGTGTCTTCTGCCAATACTTCCTCAGGTTTTTGCGCCCTGGCTGATTCATTCATGCTAGTTAAATTCCATACCGTCTTTGGTTCATCCAAAAACTTGCAGAAGCACAGACACTTGGCACCCGAGTTCCCCCCAAATGCACTGAACAGAACCTACATGGAAAAAGTGCTGGCAGGTGGCGGGCTACATCGACATTGCACTGAGCTTTTTCTGGGTCAATCCCGCTTGCCTCGATCGAACATTGTAGTCATGGTTCTGGGGTCCGTCCGGGTTTAACATGACATAACATAACATAACAACCAACACTCACAACTCACAACACCTATAGTTATTTCCTCGTTCGCTCTACGAAACCGCTGTGTAGCCACTGACTACCGCCTAGTAAGGCCTGTTCGAAGCACCACTCCATTGAAACCTGTTTCCTGTCTCACTCTGGTTCATGATTCTCCAGACAAAACAAAAATATGCTTGGTCCAAAATCCAGAATGGAAAAATTGTGCGTGAACAATGATTTCAGAAAAGCTGTGTACATTACATCCTTTATCAAATGTGAGTTGTTTGATGAGACCCTGAGATCCTAGATGTTAACACGCTAAAGTCTAGTCATAGACCGTACTTTTTTACAGTCAGAGTCACAGTCACAGTCTTACGATAACATTCCTTCCTTTTGCTTCAGCTGCTTAAGAAACTTGGAGAAGTAGTGACTGGGATGAGTGATTCAAACTCAAAAAACTGCAGGTAAGATAAAGTTGTAGTTAAGTAGTGTCAGTGTCAGTAGTGAGTGCAGCGTATTTCAGTATTCATACAGCATACAGCATACAGTATCAGAGCAAACAAACTATAAAATGACGAATTACAATATTGACATACTTAACTACTAAACTAAATAATGTATAAAAAACAACACTTAGTAGAACGTGGAACATGATTAACAGTTTAAGTTAATTAAGAAAAACAATTTCTATATGGTTGCGATGATTATACGATTGTGGTCTGTTTCATCTTGATATACTTAGTTAGTTAAGCTAAGTTATGTTTTGTTATATAAGCTTAATTAAACATTTTTTTTAAAATAACATAACATACATGTTCAAATATTAGACATAAGAAGACACATAAAAAGGTTGCTTAGAAGCGGCTTGAAGCGGCTTCAAACTACTTGCTAGAAAGTAGCTTCAATCGGCTTTAAGCGGGTTCAAGCTATTTGCTAGCAAATAGCTTGAAGCGGCTTCAAACGGTTTCAAGCTAATTGTAAGCATGCGTTTTGCGCTAGCTTTTAAGAAGCTACTTGAAGCTATTTGAAGCCACTTGAAGCTACTCTCCCCCCTGGGTGGGGGCTGCCTGATTGCATGCTTACAACTAGCTTGAAGCGGCTCAAAGCGGCTTCAAACTACTTGCTAGCAAGTAGCTTCAAGCGGTTTGAAGCGGTTTCAATCTACTTGCTAGCAAATAGCTTGAAGCGGCTTGAAGCTTTTTCAAGCTACTTGCTAGAAAGTAGCTTGAAGCGGTTTGAAGCGGCTTCCAACTCTCTATGTTAGGATGGTATGTCGGGAACCCAAAGCCGAAGAATGGAACAATGTTATAAGTTATAAGTTTTACATAACTTAGTATATTCATAGTGCGAATACTCTTTACGTAATGGTCCCTTTTTCTATCTATGTTATGTTTATTGAAAATTGTCAAACTGAGTCAACCTTGAAAATTATTGGAAAACTGGGATCTGGATCTGCTTTAAGGCTACTGAGATACCGAGATGAGATGAGATACTAATTTGCTTCAGTTTGTGTATGGATACAATGTTAACTCAACCCGACCCCGAAATCCTAAAGTCAGGAGTCAGCCGTCCAACAACACAGTCAAATCTCATCCAGGTCCAAACAGAAACTGAAATTGAGAACATTCACAAGGGCAAAGACAAACATAAAGTCAAAGAACTTGCAAGCTTGCATAGTGAACATCGACACAATCTCGCTCTCGATTGTTCAGCTGGCTCCTTGCCGGCTCGGAATTCGAGTAGCACTCCACTGGTCCGTACGGAGAGACACCGAGATTCTTCTTGAACGACTTCACCAGTAGCTTGGTGGACTTGGACACCTTCCCGTCCTGCAGGAAAGGGGCGGGCAAAGGGCGGGGCGGGTGAGGAATCCAGAATTGTCGTGGACAATTCTCAACAATTTGTGGAAATAGCTTCAGCAAAATTTGGAAGCCGCTTCCTGACTAATCTAGTATTGGTGGACGATTTCAACAAATTTTGGAAATAGCTTCAGCAAATTTTGCAAGCCGCTTCCTGACTAAACTAGTCTACAGGTAGAGCCTGGGACCTGGAGTGCTAAAAACACTGGGAAGGCATGACCGCCAGGAATCGTGGAAACTTGGAACGTGGAAACGTTGGGCCGTGGACACAGAGATTTACTTTTTTGGTGGGGTCTGTTCGGGTCTGTTTCCAGGGTGGGCGGTGGTCCTGCGACACAGCTGGGAAGGTTGGGCGCCGCTCCAAAATCTGGAGCACCTGTCTATTGTGGGCCATGATCTCCTGGATCGTTGGCCGGCGGGAGGCTTCTCGCATCGCCTCTGAGAGCACCTTTCCAGCAATCTCGGGCAGGTTGACAACAACCTCTTCTGAGCACACGTCCTTCCGCGCCAAGACCATGTAAAGCCGTTTCCTCGTCTGAGGAACTTGGTAGTGCGAAGTCCTCAATGTCAATGACTCAATGTCAATCTGAAGAACAAAAAATTCAAACTTGTGGAATCAACTGCTTGAGCGGTTGATCTAGCCTCTGGCGAATTTCACTCAAGTCTCCCTAAAATCATCTGAGGACAAGGATGGGCCAAGGCCAAGAGTCTCTAAAATCATAGTCGTCAACCAATAGTTCGGGATGTGGTTCAATCCAACTTTCTCGCCACTTGCTTCCATCTCTCCAGATAGCATAAAATCCAGAGGACACTGAGCGGGCGGAGGCGAGGTGAACAAGAGCTAGGTTTGGGAGCTGGGCTACATGGAGGGTTTGTTGGTGCCCATAGAGCGACGTCCCACCCCGCGGTTGGTTGTAAGTTCCAAAGTCCTGCTCCTTTTAGATGGTCTTTGCATCAGCCCAAACAGCTCTAAAAGAAACAGATGTATTGACATCTGCAAGGTACATCTGCAATTGGCACTTCTTTGCCCCTAACTGGAACTTGAAACTTGATATCTTTTCTTGGCCCATGGGCCATGTAGAAATGCAATAGACACATGGGAAGAGACCTGGTCCAGAACCTGAAGTGATTTTCTCTCACGCCAACAAGCTTTCCAAAATGCTGCTCGCTGCAGCCTGCACAGAAGCGACTTCAAAGTCCCTGGAAACAAGTTCCAGCTTTGAAACAGTATCAGTTCTCAAATTGATGTTGTCTGCAGCTTGTATAACGCAATACGGATGCAACCACGCATTTGGTTTCTTTGCGCGCCACCACCATTGAAACCTCACATCACCCTTTGGGATTAAGGCGTGGCACACATGACACTTTGATCTGCCACTGGCTGCAAGGCCGTGCTCTGAGCCAAG